ACCTTTGGAAAAAGAAAATTGTGCATTCTCTCCTAGATGAATTGAGATAAATAATATTAATAATGCACTCTCCTATATAAATATCATGAAATTGCAAACCCATATGAAATTTTTATATAAATCGAGCAAAAAATTTAAACATGGTGGATCCCAACATACAAATGATCATATTGTCCACGCGTCGCCATTAAAGGCTACTGAGAATAATTCACGTAATAAAAAAAAAATGTATAATATAATAGCATAGATAGTTCATATAAATGAAAACTTATAACATACACAATAGTATAGAAACAATAGATAGATGCGATTCTTTTCAGTTTAATTACAATTAATAAAGAGATGCATTAACGCGTTTTTTACAAACCAATATTTTTTATATGAATAAGCTTTTGAAGCTCAAATAACAACAACAACAATAAGGAGAATGGCGATGATGATTGTTGTATTATTTGTTATAAATAATATCTATAATATAACCTTTGGCAAATAAAAATTACTATGTTTTTATGTGTTAATATACATTGATGGTTTTAATTATGATTACAGATCACTAATAGATTTCTGCACGTGATTGACGAAACACACGCCAATTTTTGTTTTAAATCCAGGTAATAGGGCTTTTAAAAGTTTTGTTGTTATGTGCTTTAAAGTTAAAAGCACAAAGACCAGCGTGATGGTTAAAATTGCGTGCAAATCAAAGGACCTTATAACATGCTGAATCGCAACGAGATCCGGTGTTTTACACCCAGACAAAATATTCAAGTACAGCCAAGTGGATTATAATTAAATTCGCGCTATAACGAATCTTAAAAATTTTGTTTTACAACATAGTAATATAAGTAGTAATGGTAATGGTTAAGGAGATTCTGCATGTAAATGGTTTGCAAGAATTATTATTAAATGACTTTTTTTAAAAATTGTAAAATAAAGTAACAACTATCAAGAAACAAATTTTAAAGAAAGAATAAATATTACCCGAAAAAATTTCATTGAGGATATTCACGATTCCACAATTTCAGCGCATGTTAATATTCCAGATAAACTGAAGCAGTAGCGTTCGAAGCTTTATTATATGCAATAGGACCAACAAATTCTTCATATACTTATATAAGTTGGCGAATAAATTATTGCGAGATGATAATTTGTATGTTATAACAGAAATTGCTTGACGTGACTTATTTTTAGGCGTTTTATCAGCGTTACCATGGATATTATCCTTGTTTTAAAATGTTCTTGGAAAGCAAGCTGATACTTTTTTTTTTTTTTTTTTTTTTTACTAAACCATATAATTTTAAAAAAACTGGCCAGCAAATTGGGTATTTATGAATTATACTGTATATTGATATATATTTCCCTGTTTGATCATTTTCATCTTTTAGTTTAAAAGCCATCAACTGTGTTTTAAATACAAGAAATAATTCATTATTTTCTAATCCTTTTGATCGGAGTTGCCTTTCAAAACATTTTCTGAAAACAGCAATTACGGTTTAATCATCAAAGAATAATTTTAAGTTTTGGGCCGAATTTTCTAAAGTCTGGTAGTTTTCTAAATTTAAGTTACTCGTGATATCAAAATTTAAAGACATGTTGTAATATTCCTTATTATTTTTGAAAAATCGTCATTATAATGAGATTTTCATTGTAACGAGCTGTAATTTTCCATATCAAGTTCTATAAAATATTTTTTTGGGAGAACGTACAGATATTCGGATATGCTCAGAGGATATTAATATTGAATTAAAACATGATGATATTTTGAATGGAAGTTTGAATTTTCTAATATAATATATATATATACACTCACTAGACAAAAGTCGGGGGCATTTTTAAACAAAAATTGCGCAAAAACACACACAATAAAATCACAAATAACTTGTATTATTTTGTAGCTTGGGTTCTCAAAATTTTGCATGTAAAATTTAAAACTTCTATTTTGCCTAAGAAAATAACAGTTAAAAAAATAAAAGATCCGACTAAAAAAATTTTCCAAAAATTTTTCTGGCAAAAAAAAATTTAATTGAACAAAATCGTATTTAATAACCAAGCTCGAATTTTTGGCATGTGATAACGAACGTCTTGAATAAGTAAAGTATCTATGTTGTTTTGAATTTTTTTGTAAACAAACATCATTTTTAATAAATTTTTGAACAATTCCTTTGAAAAATTTTAAACTCAAAATGTCAACCTTAAGTGAAAGACAATGTGGTGAAATCATCGGTCTATATGAAAATAATGTACCAAACCACAAAATAACTAAAATTATTGGTGTTAATAGGAAAACAGTGACTCGTACTATTCAAAATTACATTGATAGAAAAGATCTCATTACAAAAAATCGAAGTGGCCGTCCTAAATTAATCAATGATGAAAATAAAAAAATACTGAAAAAACTTGTAAAGCAAAACAATCGAAAATCTGCTGAACAAATTAAAAACAAATTTAATGAAAAACAAGTATCAATGTTCCAACTTTTGATGGATTTGCACCAAAATGTAACAACCATCGCATTCATTTATCCTACCAGTTATGTTAATTGGTACAGACAGGAGTTAATTCTCATATAAAAGGACATGCTCGTAAGGAGGTGTTAAGATGAGGGAGCAGCACAGAAGATATTGTACTATTGGAATGACTGGTGAATACCGATCCTCACAAACTTGTGTATGGTTTTTCCAACAGACTAGGCTTGCAGAATTATCAATGGCGGATAACCAGTGTCAAAGTACATGGTGAGTGTACCAACCCATCATGTATTTCATTCAAATGTGGCTATACTGTAAAGCCTTGGAATCCTTATTTGGCAACTCTGCCATTTGCTATCGCTGGTGCATCAATCAATATTGTTCTCAACTTCTCATTCCACTTTAACACCCTTCTCAAGAAACTTATACACCTACACAAACCATCAATATATACTGAACAACATTTCTTCAACACACTCTCAATATCGAAAAGATCCAATCAGAGTCAGCACTTGTTAATATTACTTAAACGCAACCATTTTCGTAATACCCAAAATTTCCTTTTTTAAAAATTAAAAGTCGAGTTTATTTATTGTACTGGTTCTTTCTTTTTCTTTTTTACGTAACGTAATAAGTTCAATTTTCAAATTGAAACTCCAATACTTTCAAATCACTATTACGAATAACTACATGATCGTAAACACCCATTGGAGTCTCCCAATAATCAAATCTGAATTTAGTTTCCTTGGCATCTGTGGCTTTGAAATCGCCTACAATATTTGTACTAAATAAATATTTATTTCAAAAAATTATCTTGATTACTTTTATGCATTTAGAGATAAGAAAGATAATATTTTTAATAAAAAAAACAATCACGGAAGAATATAAATAAAATGTTTTAATACTTTTCATAAAGTCTTGCCAAAGTTTTTTTTGATTTTTTACTTGCTTCTATCCAAAATAATAAAGATCTTTTCCGTAAATCTGTTAAAAGTTTTTCTTGATTTTTTTTATTTTTTACCAATTCATCATAGTCATCATTAATAACTTTATCAGTTTTATCATTTTTATCATCATCATTAATGTTCCCTTCCATTTTGTGTAATTCTTTTTTTGTTAAAAATAACCCAATTTTTCTGGATTTAGAAGTTTTGTGTATATTAATATAGAAATTTTCCCAAAATTTAATTTTTAATAAAAAACTTTATGTAAACATATACTATGGGAGCTACCGATAGTAAATTGGCATTTCGTAAAGGGGTTTTTAGATTATTTGAAGAACGTGTATGCTATTTAAATTATTTTAAATATGTCATTATTCTTCCTTTAAAGTTAAAAACCAAATCATTCACTTTTATCTTTTATAGAATATTGGGCCTAATGATGAATATTGGTCTCAGGTATTTTAACATACTGGATGTTTTTTCTTCTATTATAAATTTAATTAATCCTAATATTTATAATTATAATCATGCATAACATTTAAAAAGTTTTGGATACTACCAGAAACTTCTGAAGATGTCTTTTCTCTTATTGGAGCACAGGACATTAGACGCGTTAGAGATCATGCAAGAGAAAATTTGGAAACATTGATTTTAAAAGTTTGTAAATTATTATTAAGAACCGATTTAAATTAGAGTTAATTAGAATTTATATACAATGTATATATCAATTTCTTCTCGCTCTAGACTTTTGAACGAATTCTTGTAGTTGTGAGAGCACCAGATTTTCCCTCACCTCAAAACTCTATACTTCATCTTTTAAATTGTATAAGGATTCTTACCAGGATCATGCCATTTATATTTGAATCTGAAGATATGGAAGAATGGGAAGAAAATTTTTTTTGGACTGCTCAAACAAGAAAATCAAAAAAAAATCGTAAGCTAGAAGTTGTTGTTGACAATTCAATTGAAGAAACAAACAATTATGAAAGTCAAAATATCAATAATACAGATGAAAA